TCGTTCTCTATCAACTTTTTTTTTTACCAAGGAATCTAAATGTATATATATTAAAAAATCTTACGACACATAGTTGTAAAACTGCTTCTTCTACTGAATACAGTCAATATCATTTTAACGTTATCCTTACCAGTTCTGCTTGGAATCTTCTTCACACTTTCTATCTACAGATATTTCGAAAATTTATTTAAATATAGGGCATTTCCAAAAGTGTTATCTTAATGGCGGAATCTCTATCAACTAGACAACGAGACTCTAAATATTGTACTACGCTTGCGTCAAGAAAAACATGTTTGACATCAGCGATGTGGTTTAAAGATCTTGACGAACGATCGTCTTTGTTCTGCTTTGTTCTCGTCTCGAGAACAAAGCCGGACTTTCTCCAGGAGGGCGTTCATTCAACCTTTCAGAAATCTCTATTGCAATTTTTACGGATTATTACCTTGGCAATTATGATACCGCGGACAGTGATGCCGATCATTGGACTGAAACGAATCTCCACGCCGGATTCTATAATGAGTTTGGCGTCCTTTTCGATAAACAAATCCTCTCGCAGCAAGTAAGGGCTCTTCGATTTCTCAAACACTTTTTGATCTCGAATGATGCGGCCACCGTGCTCCTCGAAAAGACCGCCATTATTCCAGCTGCCGTTTGCTTCGCTCTCGTTTATCGGTATTGTGTAATAAATTGAGGTTTGGTCGAATCTGTCATCTGGGAGAGTTCCAGCCAGAACGGCCAGGATCGACAGCGAAATCCACAATCGTTGCATTCTTCGGTATACGCTTTTGATATCAGACAATTTAAATTACTTTCTTCTTCTTTCTCCCTGATTAGAATAAAAGAAGTTTGGTTTTCCAGTTTAACGGAAATTCATTCAGCTAGAATTCAATGAAACATTGAACTCTCTCATTGAACTCAGAGTTAGAATCCATCCACTGTATTGGTATATAGTTCTCGATTTATTATTAAATCTAAAACGGGAACGTCACTTTTGAGAGGTGAAACGTCCAAAAAGAATTGACGATTAGTGTAATTGACATTTTCGTAAGAAACTCCACGAGTGGTCTCCACGCGATTTCTCGATACATTAGTTTACGATTTTCAAGGTGAGTGCGTATACTAGTTAAGCATTACGCAAACACATAAACCGAGATGCATTCGCGTTGATGAGGCCGTAGCTTCGCGAGAATCATCCGCTTATCGCCGAGCGATTCACGCGTCATTCGTCGATCGGATTCATATGTGAGTCAGAACGTCTTTCCTCTTCATGCCGCGCAACATCCGATACTTTCACTGACCGAAGCGAGCTTCGGGCGACAATTATCCTTTTCGAGAGACGTTTATTGTTCTTTTTGGTGCATCATCGTGACTATCCGGCAGATCGTTTCTGGAGAACTTTAACGACAACTATCGAAACGCTTCTCGAAACTTGCGACGTCTGACAGTAAACATTGCATGATATAATAAGTTCTTAGAAGAAAGATTGCTTATACCACATTATCTCTTGCATTATTTATTTCATCTTTTTCTTTTTATTCCTTTTACATCTCAGTAGTATTGTACAGTAGCAATAAAGATTATCATTATTATTATTATTATTATTATTATTATTATTATCAAATAAAGAACGGGAAAGATAATAAATCGAAAATTAATGAGCTAGCATTGTCGCTTTATTGTGATAAAGAAAAAAAGAGATCTAAAAATGTCCTAAAAATATTATAAAATAATATACTAAATCAAGTTTTTAAACTTAGCAAACGTAGTTCGGTAAATTTCGATTTCTCCTTCGTAAAAGTCTGATTCGATCTCGCTTTCCAATAATTCTTTTTTATTTCTAATAGTATATTTTGTGCTAATCTTTCTCAAAAATGTAGTTTAGTTTCTCAAAAATTAAATAAATCATAAGATTTTATCATTTATGATTATCTTTAAAGCTTAATCTTTTTCCCCTTTGATCGATTGTAACACAAAGATTATAAATTCTTTTGATCGAAATACGTATTCTTCATCGAGGAAAATTTGAATGATAATAGTGAATCTCTCTCGTATAACACTTCTTCTAACTCAAAAGACGCAATATTAAATTCTCGAATTCCTCGCAGGGGCTTTGTATTCTTTGTAACGATCCTCGATCGCATCGATCCGGCAACGTTGGCTGCTCGTTCAAATTCTCGTCGCAGCCTGACCATTCACCATTTGCTCACCGCATACAACCTTTCATCAACATCTCGCCCTTCATGCACGTGTGTATGTCGCACGAATCGAATCGAAGCGAAGCGAAGCGAAGCGATGCGACGCGTAACGAGGGACGCGATGCGCAAACCGCTTCGGCGACACTTAACGATGCTACTCAAAAAACGTCGCGGGGTACGCGTCGTTCGAATTCGAGCGATTTCAAATTCGAGCGTTAACCCCCGCTCGTTTAAACGCGAGGGACCACGCCAACGACGGCGACGGCAACGTATTGTACGCGTAACGCAGCCGTTACTCCGTGCTCCGCTTGACGATTCCTCTCGTTTTCGCGTAAATCGCGCGAGCGCGACCGTTCCTCCGCGTTTACCTTGCGTACGCGCCCGTTCGACTTCTCTGTCGTTCCCTTTTCAATACTTTTTTTTTTTTTCTTTTCAATTCCAAGTCAAAATCAAATCGACGTGTCCACTCGATCTCGATGTGGACTCGCGTTGATCTCCTTGAGTCATCGATGACGCCGATCCGTCAATTATTCGTTTAGTCTCGCGGATTCGCTAAAGCAGCCTCTCGATCGCGGCGATCTGACGCCTTTGTCGATCGTCGATCACAGATACTCCAGATCCCTCTCCCATCTGGAGCTCCCTCGAATCGTGGGCGCGGTTTTGATTACACTGTGTATTTTATGTTTGCGTATACGCGCACTTTTCGTCGCGGTCACTCCCTTGCGCAACTCCCGTCACCGTCCCGTCACAGAGCCTGACAGAGGCACTGCGGCTACTACCGCCATGGTGCACTCACTGGTAGCGCGTTGACGACGCTACGCTACACCTACTACAGCCGCGACCCGCGACGTAGAGCAGGTCACGTGACGCACCCGAGCATATACGTCACACAGGTTGTGAAACAGGTGAGTCCCTCCTCCCAGCTCGGTGTCGTGCTAGGTCTCCTTGCTTGTAGACCTCTCGACCGACTTTGGACTTGGATCGGTTCCTTAATCCTGACACTTGTAGTTTTCAAATAATTAACTCTCTCTCTCTCTCTCTCTCTCTCTCTCTCTCTCTCTCTTTTAAAGATTAAAAAGACTCCAACGAAAACTGAGCTCGAAGACGGATACCCAGTAAACATTAACTAAAAGTAACATAACAGCCATGTTATTGATTCATATTCAATAATATAAATATAACACACGTTGTACATACGTAGCAATGTTAAATTGTACATACCTACTTTACATTGCGGTTAAAGTGTGAAATTATGACATTGATATTATGTTAATTACTGTGTAGTTGGTGTTTAGTGGGAAAGTGGGAGCCAGGATAACCAAGCGTGATTTAGCATATTGAACAAACTGATGCATTGCACGAACTTGTCTTATATTAATTGGCATACATTTGCTGACATCAGAATAGGACACGTTAAAAATACAACAATATGATTGTTTATGCAATCAGTTGACAAAATTTCAAAAACAAACGGTCAATAATAGCGGTACGTTATGCTGTACTCTCAGACAAGATGACAGCAACGTAACAACAAGGAATGATCAATCATTCCATTTTGAGCATTATGACGAAAATACGACGGCAACAAAACGTATGTCGTGATATCCATTCGTTGTTGCGTATATGTCTCTTCAAGCAATCAAGTTTTTTAAGGTGGTTCTTTGGTAAAGTGCCCATAGATATAGTATCTTTAGACTGCGCATTCAAGGAGTGGGAGCAAAGCTCGGGTAGAAAAGGAGGCACTTATTGTGATCCCCCCAGGTGCGTTCTCTCTCGTTTCGCGCATCCACGAGAGAGAACGAATCTGGACCTCATGTGTGCGTCTTTTTCTACCTGAGGTTTATCCCCTCACTCCTCGAATTTCGGAGAATACTTATGGCGAATTCGATTGGAAGAACTATTGGTGCGCACTGGTGCATATTAAAGCCGTTGTACATACACTAATTTAATTTAAGTATAAAAATGAAATGCAAACATTTTACCTAATAGAGAGTACAATAAAATGTATTAATTGTATTTCACGATTTAATCGATCTCTATGTTTATTTATAAACGTATCTTTACGTTATTTCGTGTACGTGACGGCTTTAATGTGCACCAGTGCGCACTGAGTGCGTCCAATCGAATTCGCTATTAGTCTAGTTATACCATGTCTATGAAAGTGGCAAAAATTTGAGGTGCGCCTCACCATCGGAGCCCACCCAAAGGTTACAAATATCTTTTTGGATAATTTGGATAAAATATTAAAACTACATCTTGATGAAATAGTATATGGAACATACGATAGTAAATCAAGAGCTGCATCTTCATCGAACGAAAACAAGATGGGATTATGTTTACTTTTCAAAGTTAAATTTTTATATGCAAGTTTATTCACGTAAATATCTTTTCAGAATGGCCGTTGACCCATTTGTGTACCATTAAAATCGTAATTTTTTTAACTATTTTAAACTATTTCGTTTTTGAGAAAAGTCTGTGGTAAGATTTATCTGCAGTTAGTCAAAGAAGCGTTTATTGCGAGTCTTATCTGTCACTATTATAAGTTATACGTAAAAGATTACATTTCCAATATTTTTTTCCTCTTATTTCATTGTTAACCTACCCTAAAATTTTACACACAGTTCTTCTTGGGTGAACTTTTGCATCAGTTCATCTCTCTTCTTCTTCTTCTTCTTCTTCTTCTTCTTCTTCTTCTTTCCTCCTAGAGAGAAAAGGAAGAAAGATGAACCGATGCAAAAGTTCACCCAAAAAGAACAGACCTCTTGTGTCACCGTGCGCACGAAAGTGTCTAGGGATATTGTAATTGAAAAGCACCCAGAATCCCCTGATCTAAACGAGTAAACAGTCCGAAACTGGGGCGTAATCTTTAAGTTTTGCAAGATACTCTTAAAAAGCATTTCGTAAGCATGACCGACAACAAGAACGATAAGACGAAAGTCGATCTCGGATTGCTCGAGGAAGACGATGAGTTTGAAGAATTTCCCGCGGAAGGTAATTTCTTAACGTGTATGTAACATAACCTCGAAATCGTTGATTCATCAGTAAAAGCACATTGAAAAATCAGATCTGGAATTTAAAATAAATTTATCAACTAGATTGGACCGCAAAGGATGAAGACAGCGATGATATCAGCGTCTGGGAGGACAATTGGGACGATGATGACGTTGAAGATGACTTCAATCAACAGCTGAGGTATTTTGCTTTACCATAAATCCGTTTATTGAACAAATTTCACATATATACAGGACAAGGGAGAGAGGGGGCACGTAGTGCTTGATAAATAAAAAATGTTAAATGTAATATATTAAACGAATAAAGATTATCCTCTTTTGACCTTTAAATAGATGGATGAAGTGGTCCAGGTATGGTTTTCTTAAATCTGTTTTGTAGTGGAAAATATTGCCTAAAAGTATTAAAGCTCATTATTTTTACATTCCTTTGTCTCGTATAATTAATGTAAATTTCTATCGCCGATATTCATAATATCCAGTTTTTATATTTAAAATTATCTCAAGTCCAAGACATCATAAACTAATCGTAAGGCTATCTTAAGATATTACTTAAGAGTCTTGAAATAAGAACAGCATATGAATATCAGCATATAATGTATACTATATTATACTAATAAAAAATATAACTATAAAATAAGATGTTTTAGGGCGTTTTGAGCCTTTCTCTCATCAACTTGTATATTTTTAGATCATCTAATTAAAATCTATATGGAACTGCAAAGTGTACACAATTTACTTAGTATTGTAATTAAATTTCAGAGCACAACTAGAGAAGCAGAAGGCTACAAATGATGCACCCAAGAAAAATTAATTAGTTTGTAATGTACGATATTGATCTTATTATTTTATAAAATAAATATATTAAATATTAAGCTCGTGTGTATATCTATATCTTGTATGTGTATATGTGTGTGTACACATAAAACTCTTCACAATCTTTGGAATATAATAATAGGGCTGTAGTTTATAAAGGTTTTATAACACGCACCATATGTTTTACGGGAGCACACAATTCCTTTGTACAAAACTTAGCTATTAAATATAAATGCTACACTCGGACCCCTATTCTGTAACTCTTAATGACGGTAACAATATCGTTACACTGTTGTTGCATAGTACATGATAAAAAAGCTGCGCAATGATAATGCAACAATATCATTGTTCTTAACAATTACAAAATAGGGGCCTTAGTAAATCCAGAAATGCATATAGTGCCTTCCTAAGAGCGACTCGTTTCATCACCGTTTAATCGAAAGGAGTCATTATTCTCTTAACGGAAAAAATACTTGGCATGTCTTATTGTAAATATATAATCAGGTACAGTCTTCGTTTTTAAAAAATCCGTCGGGTTTTTTTACAAAACGTAAACGATCAACATATCGCTCTTACTTTGTATAAGTCACACAACTTAAAAAAATTAAGAAAAGGAAAGAAACTATTTTTCAACTAGATAGAAAATTATTGAATCAAATAATATGGACAGAAAGAATATATTTTTAATACGATGAAAATGTCATTTTCATTTCACATTTTTTAAAATACTATCCTTTGTGACAATTTTGACGATTTTTTTTTAAATGAAATTAAGTTAGTTCAATATTAAAGTATCATATTGGATCGCGATGTGCACATACAACAATTAGGTCGTTTATTTTTGATGATTGATAGGATAATGTTTATCTAATTCATTTATAATATTCGAAAATCATCTTTTTTAAGTTTTGTCACTTTTGAAGTATGGGAGCGATATGTTTTACATATGGCACATATCGATTCTTTTTTTATATAATTATTTTGATACAAGTATCTTAATGACTCCCCTACAGACGCATTGTTGAAAGAATAAAAGTGTGCGAATCTCACTAATCATCAAACAATCTTCTATTTAAAGAATTTAATAAACATCGAAATTAATTTGTTGTGGCGTCACGATTTGTTTTACAAGAAATCAATAGTTCCGATACTAGTGCATCCAACATTTGCATGTTTAAATCTACGTTGATCTTTTTGATTTTATACGAACTTAACAAATAGTTCAGAGCTTTGTGTATATCGTCCTCGCCGAATATCAATTTTATATCGTACGATATCTTTTCCTCTAATATATGTAACAACTTGTCTTTCAACTGTGTATCGTTCTGACTTGTGTCATTATGTGATGCATCCCAAATTAACGAAGAGCCGCTCAGAGAGTCAAATAACCAAAGAATTATTTTCTGTAAATAACCATAAAATTAACAAATATAACATAACTTGTGAAAGAAATGTAATATTCTTTTGAATATAAAATCTCACCTGTAAGATTGGCTCTGAAATGTTCCCAAATAGCAATTTAGTCCATCTAACGACTGCTTCTTGCTGTAGTGTGTTGTTACTAGCAATGCCTGCTAGAAGTTCACAAACCAAATCTATCACCGTACATGTCAATGTTAAATTTGAATCTAACTCGTCTACTTCATCTAAAAAAATATAATATTTATTTTTTATTATTACGATTACAAAATACAATTTTATATTATTTTATCATATTTGATACACCAAAAAAGCAATATTATTGTAGCTACCATCATATGAAGTATTAATCGTCTCCCACCAGCAATCTAGTAACTCTGAATCTCCACTGGCTTCCATCGAGTCAACTGCTTCGTAAGCTGTGTCTACTGTACAATACTCTGTCCTTTCTGCGATCAGTTGCTGTAGTTCACACGTTAGACTTTTCTATGAAGAATAGATATTTTGAAATATTTTATGTTATATATATAAGAGATAATTTGGAAGATACAAATCAAACTGAAATAAGTTGCAAATTTAGTTTTCAAGGATAAAATTAGTTTCAGACGATGTGGCCAATACATGTCAACTTTATATTCGTATTGGTCTACATTCATATGGATAATTATGCGTATCGTGTGTGTGTGTGTGTGTGTGTGTGTGTGTGATACAGGATGAAATACAGGATTGGCAAATTACTTTTCAGTTACTTTTCAGTTACTTTTCAGTTACTTTGCCGTTACAATTTGATGATGATGTTGCAATTTTTTTATGATGGTAATGCTAACTAACTAAATACTAAGATTGTGCTTAAGTTAGAAGAGTCATTTTGAAAAGTAACTTGTCACCATTGCGTGTTACTTACTGAAAAAAAGTAATAAGTGATTACGCGTAACGTTACTCGTTACAAATAATGAAAAACTAACGCGTTACAAATTAGGAGTTATTTTTTTCAGTAACAAATGACTTTTTAAACCTGTTACAAATGACTTTTCTAATTCTGATGTTACCATTACCGCCATAAAAAATTCACAATGTCATTACTAAATCGTTATTATAACAAGGTAATGATCAACAAAGTAACGGCGTTACAAGTAACGCGTTACTTGCCAACCCTGGTGAAATATTTGAAAACTATCTTTAGGATAACATGTGTTACTCTTAATAAAATATTGTATATTCTAATATAATAATATAATAATTTTGATTTTTGAGGATGTTGTAAAACATTAAAATTCCTAATTATATTTAATCCCAATTATATATATAAAAAAAAAAAAAAAAAAAAAAAAAAAAAAAAAAAAAAAAAAAGACAAGTATATATACAAGTTCTACATTACTGATTTTATATCTTCGACAAATCTCCAGGGTATGTCAGACAAGGGCATCAAAGTAGGTAGAGGGGAAGCTTCTTCTTCTTGATCTAGTTCGAATCCTGGTACAACAGTTTTCAACGTATTAAAGACGCCAGTCACGGTCTTGGCTAGAAATCGATCCAAACGAGGCGCTACTACGTCGGCTTTCTTGCCCGCGCTGCTACTAGGTCGAAGAAAGTGACGTAGTTGTGGCGGACATTCGTTCGCCAATCGCGTACATAACGTTTTCAAATACATCTCCAGTTCGATCCGGCCACCCTCAGGCAATACCAATTCCGACATGATACTTGTTAATGATGAAATCTGGAATTTTGTGAGCATAATACAATCATTAAATTTAAATTACAGCTCTGAATTTATTTGTACTAATTTATTTTTATGACTTTTTAAAATGTTTTTTAGTTGTAAAAACCTTACTTCATCTAAACTGAGATGCAATTGAACAAAATCAGCGTATTGCCTTTTGACTGTAGCAGTGGTCGTTTCAAATAAATCTACCCCACGTTGTTCGATATCGTCAAATTGTATACAATAGTACAATTGCTGCGAGCCGTCCGTTGCAGTATGGAACTCAGTCCAAGGAATTGATAAATTCATAAATTGACTTCCTTCATATATCACGTAGGATTTTTCTTCAACGTGTCTGAAATTTACAGATATATGTAGCAGTACTTGAGATTAAATGTCATTATTACTAACAGTGGTGTGCTTGCTGTAGATTTCTGTTGCAACAGATTTCTAAGCCTAGCAATAGTCGTAGCGAAATCTGTCGGCTCTTCGTACACCGGTGATATCTTATCTTCATCTAATTCCAGATCTGTGTCAGTTATGCTTCCTCCCCACAGACCTCTGTGCTCTGTAGAGAGACCTTCCAAACATAGAGTTGGTCTTTCTGGGGTTACTATTAAAACTGCATTCTTGTCTTCACTTGTATTAGTTGCAATTGGACTAGACTTAGGTACAGATTTTGGCAACTGCTGCGGGATTACAGCCGCTGTCACGGATATAATACCATCATTCAAAGCAACACTTATGGTACCCTAAAAGATTAAATTATTGTAAGTTATCATTATTGTATAATATATATATATATATAATATATATTACTATACGATGTTGTTACTATTAGAATTTACATTGATATTTTGTTTAACTGGAGCAGTGACACTATCAACTTTGTTCGATGGAGCTTCCAATAATATTAACAAATTTTCAATCAACCTGTCCGGGCAGCTTATTGTGTTAACTATTATTAAAAGTCTCTTTGCTAAAATAGATAACAAAAGTTTGCACGGTAATGAACTAGTTAATTCCCATTGTAAAAACTCTTGTGCCAGAACAGTAACTAAACGATACAACATGTGCTCCAACGTCGACGCACTGCGAGATCCAGGATGTAAATATTTATACGCTTCCTCTATACTAGCTGCAGCACCCTTCTCAACTCTGCGTAATGCTCTGTGGAAATATGGATACATAATGTACTGATATGAATAAGTAATTAACTTTGCTAGATTTGCAAAGATAATTCTTGAGATAAATTCCATATCTTGAGATAATATCCATACCTACGATATTCCTTTAAGTGCAACAATAACACATTTGCCAACTTATTAATAACCTTTATCTTATCTACCAGACTGGCTTTCCAAACAAGCCTGGTCAAGAACTTGCTCAATAAGTCCTGTGCTTCATCAGGGAATGTCCTGTCATTACTTATATTCTTATACCAAATTTCTACACACTTTGCATTAATCTCTCGTGTCATTTCTGTTACATTCAGCTTTTTTTTTCTTGTCAAAGGGCTCTCCTTCTTACAGATATCAAATGTTGCATCATTATTGCATTTAATACTACCTTTTTGTGCAGAATTCAAGTTCTTTTGGTTCTCACTGTGACTCTTGTAAACGATCTCTATACTATCATCTTTGTTTACAAAAAATTTTGAACTTAACCGACTCACTAACCTTTTGTACATCCACTTGTTTATAAATCTTAAAGGTATCGGACTGTTGGCTTTAAGCATGAGACGTAGCAAACAACAACTCAGCCATACGGATATAATTGTAATAAATACTGCCCAAGAGACAGAAATGTATATTGGCAGAGGTGCGAGATCTGTCCACCCTTGTACGATCAAGGATAATATTGCAGCCGCTATACTAAAACCTAGTAGTATTTG